GCGAGCCTGAGAAAGGAGGAGCGGTGGAGGGGTCTGGGAATTTGGGGAAGGCTTCGTCCAGTTTCCCCCCCCCACCCAGCCACCCCCACCTCCCCCAAATTCCCAGACCCCTCCACCGCTCCTCCTTTCTCAGGCTCGCTCCCAGATGTGCACAGCCCCCCCTCCACCCTCCCAGCCCCCTCCCCTGCTACCTCAGGGTCTCCCTCCTCCACCAACTCAGCCACCCCCACCCCTGGAAGGTTCACCTCTGGATGACAACTCTTGTCAAGGTACCAATTGCAACCCCCTTGGGATAAAACCGTGTCTCCCAACCTTAACCACTTTAAGATGGGTAGACTTCAACTCCCAGAATTCCTCCAGCCAGTTTTGCTCGCTGTGAAATTCTGTAGCTGAAACAGAAACTTTGTGGCAGCTGGCTTGGAATTATGGGAGTTGAAGTCCATACATGTTAACGTGGTTGAAATTGAGAAACTTTGTGATAGCTGGTTGTGGAATTCTGGGAGTTGGAAGTCCACACATCTTAACATAGTTGAAACTTTGTGACAGCTGGCTCAGAATTCTGGGAGTTGAAATCCATACATTTTAAGGTGGTTGAAATTGAGAAACTTTGTGGTAGGTGGTTGTGGAATTCTTGGAGTTGAAGTCCACACATCTTAACTAGTGGAATCAGAAACTTTGTGGTAGCTGATTGTGGAATTCTGGGAATTGAAGTCCACACAGCTTAACGTAATTGAAACAGAAACTTTGTGGTAGCTGGCTTGGAATTCTGGGAGTTGAAGCCCAGACTTTGTAATGGATTGGAAATTGTGAAATTTTGTAGTAGCTGATTGTGGAATTCTGAAAATTGAAGGCCACACATCTTAACATAGTTGAAAGTGAATAACTTTGTGGTGAAAGGACAGGAAGAGAGATATTGTGTATCACCTACTTTCAAGTTTTTCTTAGCTAGGGGGCTGCTTAAAGGGGCTGTATTCCAAAACTGGAGTGGCTTTTTAGGCTGGGGAGGGCAAGAAGCACCAGAGACCTTTCAATTCAAAAAGTACAAAAGTTTGAAATGTCTTTTTTTCAAATGCAGCAGCTCAGTTTTTCTGCTCGGAAGCCTTTCAGGTCTCCCCAAACATTTCATTTTTCTCTCAGTAGTCTGTTCTGCACTAGAAACTGGGCACTGAAAATAAAACTTGTTTTGATACAAAACATTTGACGTATTATTATAGTTCAAAGGTCTTGTTTCCTAGATCTTCGGGAAAAATCCACTATCTGATCCGACTGGAGAGGGACAAGCTCTGTTCCCACTCCTGCTGATAATGTGGCTTGGCCCATTTACTTCAAATTGCACGTAGTCCTCAATTTACGACCATATTGGAGCCTGCCTCTTATGGTCGCAAGTGCAGTTTTCAGCGAAAAAAAATTGTAACATGGGGTCATATGACCACGAGACCCTGCAGATGGCTGTCAATTCAAACTGGTTGTCACACACACAAACTACATTTACATGCTGGGGATGGTGGCAGCCACTGCAACTTCAGAAATGGGTCATATAAGGGCCTCCTGGTAAATTCCAATGGTTGCTACACAGTCGGTTGTAAGTCAAGGACTACCTGTGTTTGATTCAGACTTCCTTAATTGGATGCATTCCAGAAGTGTTACACTGCAGCTCCCATCTTCCCCAGTCCAAGCCAAAAACATGGCCAGATGCTTAATGTGTTACAACATTGCTCAGGTCTTCCCAGGGGTGAGCTTCAAACATTTTAGCAACGGATTCTCTGCCCAGTTGCTGGGTAGGTCTGGCCATGGTGGGTGTGGCCTAGTCAGCCTCCTGTGTCATGGCGGGGGGGGGTTGCCCTCCCCGGGCTCCAGAGGCTTTTCTTGAGCCTCCAGGAGGGCAAAAACGGCCTCCCAGGAGCTTTCTGGAAGCCAGAAACAGCCCCATTTCCAGCCTTCCTGAACTTCCAGGAGGCCCGTTTTTCACCCTCCCCAAGCCTCTGCGCTTACCCTGCACCTACCTGCATCCAAAATGGGCTGTGTGGGGACTCCTGGGAAGAGCAGGGCGGGGTGGGCAGAGCCAGCCAGGAGTGGGATTTGGGGGATTCTCCAAACTGCACAGAATCTTAGCTAGGGGCTTTTCCAAATCCCTGCGAACCCCCAGCAGCCCACCCCAGGTCTTCCCCAGGGTCCATGATCTGCGCTTGTCTGTGTTGTAAACTTAAATGTCCTTTTCTGTTAACCCATTCCTGGTGTTTCACTGACTCTGCAAACTTTTCCTTCTACAGGTGGCTGTGAAAATGAAGAGAGCAGTTTCAGCGAGTCGGAGACGGACAAATCAGACAACAGGTGTGTCTTCATTCCCTGAAATTGCGAAGGGAAAGATTTACCTGGGCATGCAAACCAGGTGTCAATTTAGCCTTTGAAGAGGATAATACAGGCAGTCCCCAACTTACAACAGTTCGTTTGGTGACTGAAGTTACAATGGCATTGAAGAAAGTTGTCAGGACTCCAGTAGTTACCCCCATTTAAATCATGAGTCTCTAGCCGGATTTTCAAAGCTTAAAAAATATTTATTAGGAGAAAATATGCTGGCACTGCCTGGGTGTAGCCGACTCTGAGACACATCATTCATTGTCACCCTTGACCCTGGTTTTCCCTCACCCCCAGGTATATCATAATTCATATTCTCCAATGGGACACATCCATAGACAAGAGTCATCAATCATGTTCTCCAGTTAGAATTTTGTGCATCACCTGGAAACAATCTATGAAAACATCCATGGAATGCAGTTTCAGTTTTGCAAGCTGCTACACTACTCCCCCCTCCCTTTGGCAACTCTAAAAGACCAGAGAAATATTTTATGAATTGATAAGTGACATACGTCAGGCTTTCGTATTTATGACTGTCACAGCATCCCCACAGTCACATGATCAAAATTCAGACCCTTGGCAACTGACGCACATTTATGACAGTTGTCTCGGGGTCATGTGATCCCCTTTTGTGTCCTTTTGATGAGCAAAGTCAATGGGGAGGCCAGATTCACTTAATAGCCGTGTTACTAATATAACAACTGCAGTGATTCACTTAACAACTGTGGCAAGAAAGATTGTAAAATGGAAGAAAATACAATTATCTCAGTTAGCAACATAAATTTTGGGCTCAATTGTGGTCGTACGTCAAGGATTACCTGTATTGTATCTTGATAGTGTCTATTGATCATTACCTCTAGAGAGTTTATTACTTCTGAACAAGGAAAAAATTGTGTAAAAGCTGATTTTAGCTGATGCTCCCATGCCATTTATTCAACAGACTTTTGCTTGCTGAAGTTGTGAGCACTTGCTCTATATTGCTCCACATATATTACTAAAACTCTCATGTCTAATTGTCTGTAAGTTACCTTCAGATGGGCAAAACAGGGCATCAAAGGGCAATACTTTTTCAATCAATATACCTCAAATGGGCTGACGTACAGAATGCAACTACAATCTGGGACCCATGACTCCTGCGCGATTGAAATGTGGCAAAATTGTGGCCATTTCAGTGCTGCCTCAGTCAGCCGTGGTGAAGTGATCATCATTTCCATCGCTCCCTGACAGCTTCCGTCCAAGGAAAGTCAATGGGGAAGCCAGCAGGAAATTGAAAGTCATTCTCGCTGCCACCGCCTTTTTGCCCACCCATGGTCTTTCTGTCATTCTCACCCATGAGTCCTGTGAGATTGAAATCTGGCAAAGATGTGGCTGCTTCAGTGTTGCCATGCCACCACAGTCCTGCGTCAGCCATGGTCACGTGATTGTTAATTTCCAGCACTCCCTGCCAGCTTTCTGCAAGGAAAGCCCATGGGGAAGCCATCAGGAAGTCAGAAGTTGGTCCCACTACTGTTTTGGCTGCTTGTGGTTAGTCTTGTTTCTCTGTTTTAGTAAAGAATATCTCTGAAATGACCCAATGGGGCATGGGTTGCCTACCTTTAGCAAAATTCTTAGCTTGTTGGACTGGATATGCCAAACCTACCAGCCCATTTCTCCCACAGGAGGTGCCACGGTTAAACATGTTCGATCAGCTCTTTGGCTCCCTGAAATATAATCTGTCATTGTATTCTTCTTAAATAACAGATTTATACAGACTGAGAGAAAGTTATATATAAAAGAGAGAGAGAACTTTCAAATGTTCTTCAAGAATATAAATTTTGATTATTGCTTGTTTGGCACAAGAAAAGGGGAATAGGTTTTTAATTAATTATTTGAAAAGGATTTCCATTAGAAAAAGAGTATCATTTATCATTGCTGTCAAACAAGATGTACGGATTAAGTAGTTATGAAGAAAGTAATTTGATGAGAAAGGAAAATCCAGAGACGAAATAGAGCCCTTTTTCCTGAATTTGTGGTTTTGAACATCTCTATTTCTGAATTCTGAATTGATGGGGCTTTCTAAACCATTAGCAGAAGTAGCAACAACAACAAAAAAATCTTCCCAATGATATCAAAATTAAAAAAAAAAAATAGGGGGGAGAACCAAGAGGCTTATCCTATATTCAGGGTTCTCCATTTGATACTAGATGAAGATTTTTTTTTCCTCCAACATTGCTCTCAATGTGGCTGTTACAGGATTCTTAGCAAATCAACAACTGCAGAGTTGTTGTGTTCATAGGATTGCTTATCGTTGGCCTTTTCTGCTTTGCCCCTATATCACAGGCACTCTTCGGTGCTATCATCTAAGAGTCCGGACTGGGGGCTTTGCCTGCAGGACGGTAAGTGGACAGCACATTTATTTAAAAAGAGAGAGAGAGAGCAAAGGCTAGAGCTGGAAGGGTCCTTGGAGGTCTTCTAGTCCAACCCCCTATTCAGGCAGGAGTCCCTATACCAGTGATGGCTAACCTTTTTGTCGTTGTGTGCCGAAAGTGTGCGCATGCACGTGTGCCTGCACCCATAATGCAATGCACATGCGACCCCCCCTCTGTGCTCCCCCCGTTCCCCCTGTGCATGTATGCGCATCTCTTGCAAGTGCCCCGCTCCCCACACATGCATGGCAGATATCCGAAAATCATCTGGCTGACAGGAGGTGTGCATGTATGCGCAGTGGAACTTATCTGGGGTGACGGCTCACATGCCAGCAAAGATGGCTCTGTGTGCCACTTCTGGCACACGTGCCTTAGGTTCGCCATCACGGCCCTATACCATTTCAGACAGGTGGCTGTCCAGTCTTTTCTTAAAAACATCCAGTGATGAAGCACCCACAAAAACCTCTGGAGGCAAATTGTTCCACTGCTTAATTGTCCTCACTGTTATGAAGTTTCTCCTTAATTCCAGATTGCTTCTCTCCTTGATTAGTTTCCATCTGTTGTTTCTTCTCCTGCCTTCTGGTGCTTTCAACTCTGGGAGTTGAAGCCCAGAAATCTTAAAAGCTGACAAAGTTGAGAAACACTGCCCTGAAGGCATAGTTCACTGTTGAGAAGATTTAAAAGCCCTGATTAGGGTGCTACCTGATTGTTAAATCCTTGTGCTACCATTCCCTAGTAGTTACTCATCCGGATTTCCTTCTTTAGGTTTTTAAAGTTCACTTACAGGGTCTAGGTGTGGAGACCATGTGCTGGAGACATTCCTAGGAACTCACTATTCCAGTGTTTCTTGACCTCAGTCATTGTAATATGTGTGGACTTCAATTCCCAGAATTCCACAATCAGCTACCACAAAGTTTCTGATTCCATTATGTTAAGATGTGTGGACTTCAACTCCCAGAATTCTACAATCAGTTACCACAAAGTTTCTGATTCCATTATGTTAAGATGTGTGGACTTCAACTCCCAGAATTCCCCAATCAGCTACCACAAAGTTTCTGATTCCATTATGTTAAGATGTGTGGACTTCAACTCCTAGAATTCTACAATCAGTTACTGTCAAATTCACAGCCTACAGGCCGGATGCATCACATGCTGGCCACTGCCATGGCCAATTTAGCAATGGGGGGGAAAAGTCGTGATATATCATGTGATGATGCTGTGACAACATGAGATTGACATCCCTGAACTATGTTAAGATGTGTGAACTTCAACTCCCAGAATTCCAAGCCATCTACCACAAAGTTTCTGTTTCAACCACATTAAGATGTGTGGACTTCATTCCCAGAATTCCCAAAACTGGCTGGGGGAATTCTGGGAGTTGAAGTCCACACATCTTAAAATGGCTGAAGTCGAGAAACACTGCACTATGTCCTTCACACGATTTAAAATAGTTCAGATGCACTCTTAATATGTAAGAGGAAGCTGGCAGCTTTCTGAGAACCCTGGGCAAAAACTGGATGATTGCAACCTTGATGGGTTTTTTTTTTCTTTATAAAGTATAGAGAGTCTTCAACTTACAAACATTCATTTAGTGGCCGTTCAGACTTACAACAGCACTGAAAAAAGTGACTTATGACCATTTTTCACACAACCTTTGCTGCATCCCCCTGTGATCAAAACGTGATCAAAATTTAGATAGTCCTCGACTTACAACAGTTCATTTAGTGACTGTCTGAAGTTACAACGGCACTGAAAAAGTGACAGGGCCAATTTTCATACCTACGACCATTGTGGCATCCCACATCCACATGATCAAAATTCAGATGCTTTCCAACGGACTCGTATTTATGACGGTTGCAGGGTCCTGGGGTCATGTGATTCTCTTTTTGTGACCTTCTGACAAGCGAAGTCAATGGGGAAGCCAGATTCACTGGACAACTGTGTTGCTAATTTAACAACTACAGTGATTCACTTAACAACCGGGTCAAGGGAGGCCGTAGACTGGTTCAAAACTCACTTCACAATTGTTCTCCTTAGCAAAATAATTTTTTTGGCTCAATTGTGGTCGTAAGTCGAGGATGATCGTTGTTCATTTGGGCATGGCACGTTATTCCCCTACTGAGGTTCATTGTGTTGTGTCTTTTTTTTACCTTCTGGTGTCTTGCAGAACCTTTGTATCAAACCTATCGCCAGGCTGTCATCTCCAAGGAGATCAAGAGGCAAACGGTTCCACGCAACAGTAGTTTTAGCAGCTCAGACTACAGAGCCCCTTCTCCTGGGGAAGGGTCAACGGGACCCCAGGGCCCCGTCCCTCATAGCACCCTTTGGCAGGAGCTGCCAGCTGTGCGAGAAAGTGGTGTTTTGGACAACATCAGCCCAGAAGAAAGGAAAATGCAAGAGGTGAGTAAAAGGACTTAGGTAAGAAAGGCATTTCCCACCAGACAGAATTCAAGGTGTCTGAAATTTGCATCCGAACAATCAGAACAATTAATCAGTGGAACGACTTGTTTCCAGAAGTTGCTCCAACACAGGAGATTTTTAAGAAGAGGTTGGACAGCCATTGGCCTGAAATGGTATAGGGTTTTCTGCTTGAGCCGGTGGTTGGACTAGAACAGGGGTCACCAACCTTTTGGACATGAGGGACCACCAAACTCATAATTTTAAATCTCATGGACCACTAATATGAATTTTGACTGACTGTGGCCTGCTGATGTTGATGGGGGAGGGAGGGAGAGAAAGATCCAATCTAACCTTGGAGAGCTGGCAGTGATGTTCTCCCCCCCCCCCCCCGTCTCACACACACAGAGGTCCCTCACACGCACACATACCCTCCAAGGCAGCCTCATTCCTAACCTGCTTTTCAGCCGTTCTCAGGGGAGGGGAGAGAAAGACAGTATTCTATGATCCCAAATAAAGAACGATCGATCGGTAGGAAAACGGGATCGTTCTTTATGTGGGATCACAGTATACTGTTTCCAGCTCTGGTCTCAGGGGGAGAGAGAAAGAGAGAGAGAGACTTTTGGCTTAATGCAAGGAAAGCGACAGAAGCAGCAGAAGACTTTCTTTTTCTCCTCCAAACTCTGCCAGAAATGAGTCTTTGCTGGTGCAGCCTCTTGGAGCAGGATGCCTTGCAGAGTCGTAAAGATTCATTTCTGGCGGAGTTTGGGAGAGAAAAAGAAAGACTTGCTGCTTTCCTTGTGTGCAGCCAAAAACAAAAGAAGAAAGAAGTGGAAAGAAGCAGCCTGGTGACCAGGCAAGATGTGCGGGCTGAGTGGGGCAAGTTCTCCCCCTCTCCCCTTTCTCCCCTCCCCTCACTACCTCGTATTGTTCGCAATGCAAGTGACGCGAGCCTTGTGTTCCCACGGGCCATGGACCACCAAAATTTTCTCGCAGATCACCAGTGGGCCACGGCCTACCGATTGGCGACCCTTGGATTAGAAGACCTCCAAGGTCCCTTCTAGCCCTGTTATTCTTCTTTGAGAACAATCAATATGGGCAAAGTTTCGTTGAACACTCTAAGGAGTTGTACATCGCATTGATGGGATTATTTCACCCCCCAGAAAATGAGATCATTTTAAGTTGAGAGTCATATTTATTTCCAGCTTGGGACTAGGTGTTTCACGCATGAATTATGACCCAAGCTATATCAGTAGATTAATATTATTTTTCCAACTCACTTGGCACTAGGGAGACTGAGTATCCAAATGGTGTGGATGAATTTTGCGCTGGAGTCCGAACTTTCCATGTGTACGTTAGTAGATTGTGATTCCACGCCCACCCACCCCCCAATAACATGAAACACTTGTAATTGTAAATTGTGTCGGCAATGGAATAAAGCAAAATAAGAGCCTCTCCCAAGCACATATATGTCCTGGACACTTCTTCCCCCCTGCTGTATCTTCATGATACAGGATACATCTTGTTCCGACTATTGCCAGGATTGTGTTATCTCCTTTAGGCAGGCAAGAAGCTGCTGCAATTTTCCCATGGGTGAAATCTGACTCATCCACTACAGGTAGTTCTTGACTCACAATTGGTTGTTTAACAGCTCATTGGAGCTACAGTGGCCTCAGAAAGAAGTGTGTTTTATGCCCTGTAAAACACTTCTGACTGTCAGGAAATGTGCCGCTCTCTGTTCCCCGTGGTCACATGATCACATTTTGGATGCTTGCCAATTAACTCACATTTTTAACAGATTTAACAGAGCTGGAAGGGACCTTGTAAGTCATCCAGTCCAATCCCCTCCCCTGCCCAAGCCCTAGCACAGGGGTGTCAAATTCCCATCATGGTGGCATCGCATTATGTATTGGGACTTTTTTCCCCTTCCCTAAACTGGGCTTGTGCGTGGCCAGCACATGATGCATCTGGCCCACAGGCCGGGAGCTTGACAGCCCTGCCCTAGCATGATTTTTCAGAATGCTCGTAATATAAGCCCTACCCCAAAAATAAGCCCCAGTTAAAATAATCAGCCAAATGGATGCATTTGTTTACAGTAATTACCTGAAAATAAGACCTAATCAGAAAATAAGTCCTAATGCATCTTTTGGAGCAAAAATTAATATATGACCCAGTTTTATTTTTGGAGAAAGATGGGTATACACACACACACACTCCCTCTCTCACTCTCTCCACCCCCCCCCCCCCCACACACTTTCTTTTGAGAGCAGGCAATGGAATTTCATTTTTAATGTGGGCCAGCATGCTCAGCATGACAACTCTTTAAAAAGGGAATCTTGCTCTTGACCCATTAAATTTCTGAGCTAATCCTCAAATCAGAGATCTGAATCATTCTGAACATTGGCTGACCATTGGTGGTAGGGGAATTAAATGATTCATGCATCAATTCTTCCCTTGTATATTCAGTATTGTTTAGACTGGTCTTTAACGTGGGTTTAGCACTCTTTCGGAATAGCACTAAATAGTGGAGACTTTTAAGAAAAGATTGGACAACCATTTGCCTGAAATGTTGTAGGGTTTCCTGTTTGAGCAAGGGGTTGGACTAGAAGACCTCCAAGGTCCCTTCCAACTCTCTCATTCTGAGTCAAAAAGAGCTCAACCACTGCTGATGGCTTTAAACACACTTCCAGGGTGCAGAACTAAAATGAGATTTGATAGATGGCAGACCCAAAACACCATAAGTTTGGGGAAGCTGAGGAAAACATAATACTCACTGTGCTTTATTCCATTCACACATTCTCCGCTTGTCAACTCATTCTGGCTTCTTTGTGGTTCTGCATCTCTGGGGTCAGAGCCTCTTTGAAGTGGTGACCTCTGAAGCCTCCTATCTACGCTCGCTTGCCCTTCTGATCGAGCACTTCATGGAGTCTCGGGAACTGGCTGGCACCATCCTTCTGCGCGAGCACCGGATTCTCTTCTCCAACATACGCAAAGTTCAGGAAGTGAGCGAAAGGTCAGTGTTTTCTCTCTTCCTGTCTTTCCTCCAGTCTGCATTGCTTTGGACCATACTCAAGAATCATAGAATCATAGAATTCTTAATTTGCTGCTGGTCCCCGTGAAGGGCTGATGGTCATTATGAAGTGTAACACGATAGCAGTATTCCAGTATTTGAGGGAAGTGGTGGGTTTCCACATTTTTTCCCCTATGATTTTATGAGCAGTTCTATGTACGTGCATAGAGGTGCAGCAACCCTCTCTGCCATGCAAATCAGCTGAGTTAAAAAAACAAGAGAATATAGGAGGGCTAACGGCAGGGGCAGGTGGGTGGGGCCAGTCAGAGGTGATATTTGCCAGTTCTCTGAACTAGTCAAAATTTCTGCTACCGGTACACCAGAACCGGCCAGAACCAGCTGTAGTAGCACCTCTGTTTGAGGGGCTACTACAAAGAAGGGGGGGGTGTCAACTTATTTTCCAAAGCATCAGAGGGCAGGACAAGAAACAATGGAGGGAAACTGATCAAAGAGAGTCCCAAGGGTGCTTTTTCAGGAGACAACAGGACTTTCTTAGTTTTTCTTTTGAAGACTTTTTGCTTCTTATCCAAGAAGAGACTCTTTACAGACGTTTAGCTATACAATTTGGGATGAACACCCTTTGAACGGTGTGGGAGGAGGAATGGATTTCCAGAGGAAAAATTGCAGATTACAGGAACCAGGAGCACTACTCAGGTGACCCTGAGGACACAGATCAACCTCCAAGTGCTTCAAGGACCCTCTAAAAGGAAGAAAATGACCAGATGTCTGCCAGGAATATAAATCCTTCCATTCCCCTCCATCCAGTCAGAGCTGAAGAAGCTTTTTGAATGAGAAGCGAAAAACACTAGGAAGTCCAGTTGCCTCCTGAAAAAGCACCTTTGGGGCAACCATGACCTGGATGACTGAGAATCTCTATAGAATTTTGATCAAAAAGAGAAGCAATCTGGAATTCCGAAGAAACTTCCTAACAGTGGAACAGTTTGCCTTCAGAAGTTGCTGTGGGTGCTCCAAACCTGGAGGTTTTTAAGAAGAGACTGGACAATGATTTGTCTGAAATGGCATAGAGTCTCCTGCTCGAGCAATGAGTCGGACTAGAAGACCTCCAAGGTCCCTTCAAACTCTGCTATTCTGATTAATCTCCACGTTCAGAAGAAGTCATACCCATAGGGCTCTCCCAAGTGATTCTTCTGATGATGGTGACCATCTGTGATGAACAGCAGGCTATCCAATTATCCAGCTGTATGACCATCTGTTTAATTGCTACTTCTCCCACTTCAAGAGGTGAAACTAGGTCCCTGTTTGTAGACACAAGCTCGCTATTTTTGCTTGGGCTTCTCTGAATAATCCACATGCATCTGATGTCAGTTCTTCCTCTTGGCAGGTTCTTACAGGATCTGGAATGGCGGTTGGCTGAAAGCCTGCAGATCTCAGATGTTTGTGATATTGTGGAGGATCACGCTCAGCAGAGCTTCTCGGTCTACATTGATTACGTCCGTAACCAGCTGTACCAGGAGAAGACCTACAGTAGCCTCATGTGAGTAAGGGAGGAGGAAAGGAAAACAGCCTGCTGGATACCTTTGGGGAGAGTGAGTTGAGGAATTATTTGGAGAAACTCTTTTGGCTGTTTTCCAGACTGTTTTGACCTTGCCAAGAATTATGGAAGTTGTAGTTTTCCCTCATCTGGCAGGCTGATCACCATTTTGGATTCTAAGCTGCAGGTATCACCAAGGGCAGAATCCAAAAGATATTAATTCACCCTGTCTTTTCAACAGCAGCTATCCAGCTACTCTTGCAGAGCTTGCTGGTGGTTGATCACGGCCATGTATGTACCTTTGAAGTGTGAATCCCATTCTTCCTGTCATGGATAATGGATGTGGATGTACCTATGCACCATAAATGTCTTTGTTAAGTGTTTCTGCTTAGTCTAACATCTACAGATGTTTCCGAGAAGTCCTCAAATTCAGGTATCTTCACCTTTGGCAGCTGAAAGGACTGTGGACTTCAACTCTCAGAATTGCTGGCTAAGGAATTCTGGGAATTGAAATTCACAAGTCTTAAAGTCGTCATGATTGGCCATCCCTGAATTAAGCAGTTGTCTGGAATTCATCCATCCATCCATTTCATTCATACCGTATTTCCCCAAAAATAAGACCTATCCTAAAAATAAGGCCTAGCCTGATTTTTTTCAGCATGCTCCTAATATGAGCCCTACCCCCAAAATAAGCCATAGTTATGGTCGTCAACAGCGGGAGGGCATGGCCAGCACCAGAGGCGGAGAGGGCGCTGGTCCTGATGGTGTCTGGCAGCAGCAGCCTGCGCAGTGCAGGTGAGTTGATTAACTGTCCAGGAAGCAGACCTCAGCGGAAGCTCAGGCAATCTGGACACACTGTGCAGGCAAAGGGAAAGCTGAGAGTCAGTGGGCCGGAGCAGGTGGGCAGTCGTGGAAGGCTCATATTTGCACAGCACCACCACCAGCAGATGGAGGCAGAGGTGCAGGGGGGGAAGGCAGGTGATCCTGCTGTGCCACATGGGATGCATGCAAGACGATAGATGCAAAGACAAGCCTCCTGCCCACTGACTCTTGGCTTTCCCATGCCCCTGCCTCTGCCTCAACCTGCTGCTGTATAGGTTGCATAGCTCCAGAGTGCGCTGACCAAGGGGCAGTGGGCTGCAGCTGCTGCTGGACAACATTAGGCCCCACACACTCATCACCCTTTGTATGTGCCCGTTGGTGGTGGGACACCCAGCCAGGCTCATCACCCTGATATTGTGTTTCTCTAAAAATAAGTCCTAATGCTTATTTTGGAGCCCCCACAAATATAACACTGGGTCTTATTTTCAGGGAAACCCGGTGGTCACAATATTGCCAAATGTTCCTCTTCCTCTCTTCCATCCACCTCCCCTACCCATTGATGGCTTGCTCTGCTTCCAAAGGGCTCAAGATGGGATAGGAGGAAATGTAAAACAACCTGTAGGGTTGGATTTGACCCCCAAACCCACCAGATGAGAAATGAGTATCAACACTGGCCTGCAAACACTGCAGTAGAATTGCTGATGGTGACCACGTGTTTTGCCCCCACCATGTTCCCTAGCAATCCCAAAGCCCCGAATTCAGACCCATTGCTCTTGGGTGCAGCTTCCTTTCCTTTTCTCACTTAGGGAGAAGAACGCCCAGTTTGCCATCGTTGTCACCCGACTCCAGGAGCAGCCCCAGTGCCAACGCCTCCCCTTCATGTCCTTCTTGCTGCTTCCTTTCCAGAGGATCACTCGTATCAAGATGCTCTTGGAGGTGAGAACCAGGTGGTGGGTCTTAGACCCAAGGATCTGGATCACAATAAGGCCAGAGGAGGCTTGAAGGAAAACATTCCTTGGGGGAGGTGAAAGAAGGGGCAGCTGGGGTTCTGACAGGTTGGGAAAGCAAGTTGTAACCCAAAGTGACACATGTCTGTGCTCAGTTTCATTTTTCTCTCTCTAGATATGTGTGTGTGTAGAAAGGGGGGAGGAGAGAGAGAGAGAGAGAGACAGAGCAAGAAAGACAGAGACAGAGTTAGAGATAGAGACAGAGAAAGCGCTCTCTCTCTCTCTCTCTGTATAGTGTGTTATATATGTGTGTATGTGTGTGTATAATACACACACACACACAGAAACATATAGCTTTTGCTCTCTGTTTCTCTGTCTGTCTGTCTGTCTCTCTCTCTCTCTCTTTGCCTTCTCTCTCTCTCTCTACACACACACATATCTTGCTATCTATCTCTTTTCTCTGTCTAACCCTAACCTGCTGAATACCACCTCTGCTTTGTTCCCTTCTAACTGGAAGTCCCTTCCTCTTGGTTTTATTTTGTGCGTCTAGAATATCCTGCGCCGGACGGAGGAAGCTTCTTTGCGAGAACAAAACGCCCTGAAGGCTCTAGCTTCTGTTTCCAAGGTAAAAGTAGCCATGAATAGAGGGAAATCCTGATGATGTTACCTAGTTTGAGAAATGGAACATCTGCAAGAAAAAAACCAAGCTCAAGAGAGGTATCAGAGACTAGTTGGCCATACCCCAACCTGGCACCAGAGGTGGTATTCAGCAGGTTCTGACCAGTTCTGGAGAACCGGTAGCAGAAATTCTGAGTAGTTCGAAGAACCGGCAAATTCCACCTCTGACTGGTCTTGCCCCCATCTATTCTCTACCTCTCAAGTCCCAGCTGATTGGCTGGGTCTTCTTTGGTTGCTCTGCATAGGAGAACGGAGCTGGAAAGCAGGCTAGTGGGGTGGGGTGGGGTGGGGAGGGATTGGGGATTTTGCAATAACCTTCCCCCTGGAGTGGGAGGGAATGGAGATTTTACAGTATCCTTGCCCTGCCATGCCAACCAAGCCACGCCCACCAAGCCACAACATGGATCCACCAAGCCACGCCCACAGAACCGGTAGTTAAAAAAAATGAATCCCACCACTACCTGGCACCCTCTAAAACAGGGGTGTCAAACTCAAGGCCCAAGGGTCAGATGTGACCCGCAAGGTGCTTAGAACTGGCCTGCGGGACCACCCTGGGAAAACCAAAGGACCACCTCATGGTGCCCCTGCCAACGAAAATGGAGCTCGGGAGGGCCTCACACAGCCCTCCTGAGCTCTGTTTCCAGCTGCGACGACATCCTGCAACCCTCTGCCAGCAAAAATGGAGCTCCGTTTTAGTTGGCAAAGCGATTGGGCCACCCGAGGTGCCCCCAACATGAGTGGCCATGCCTCCCTGGCCACGCCCCCCAGACACCCCCAAGGTCAAGCACAACCCTGATGCGGCCCTCAATGAAATCAAGTTTGATAGCCCTGCTCTAAAGTATCATCACGGTCAGTTGCCATCGATGCTAGCCAAAGGCAATGCATTGTGGGAACTGAAGTACAAATAATTGGAAGGGGTTTTTTTTGTTTTTGTTTTTTGGTACTCTGTCCTTTCCTTTGAAAATATACAGCAAGTCCTCGAACTTACAACAGTCCTCCCCAGAACCACAGTTAATCCTCGATGTATGATTTCTGTTGCTCAGTAAGCAAATTTTGCTGCATTTTATGACTTTTTGTTGCTACAGTTGTTATTAATTGTATTGTTACAGTTGTTCCATTAGTATCATGGCTGTTAAGTGAATCTGGCTTCCCCATTCTGGGCTGCATAAACAGAGGGAATAGAATCAAGATCACTTGATGCCACTTTATAAGGCCTTGGTAAGGCCACACTTGGAATCCTGCATCCGGTTTTGGTCGCCACGGTGTAAACAAGATGTTGAGACTCTAGAAAGAGTGCAGAGAAGAGCAACCAGGATGATGAGGGGACTGGAGGCTAAAACATATAAAGAACGGTTGTTGGAATTGGATATGTCTAGTTTAATTTTAAAAAAGGACTAGAAGTGACATGAACCCATTGCCCTAGCCTCTGAATTTTGATCTCATGACCAAGAAGATACTGCAACGGTTGCAAGTTTGAAAAACGGTCATAAGTCACAAAGTATTGTTGTAACTTTAAACAGTCACTAAATGAAGTGTTGTAAGTCGAGGATTACCTGAATCCGTGTTTCTAAATTGTTGGAGAGAAAAACGAATGGTGGGGGGGGGGGGGGGGAGCCACGTCTTGTTGGCGCCTGGCATATTTTGGAGGATGCTTTTGCTTGGATTGACGCTTTGTCGAGCCCTGTTTCTGTCATTTACCTTGAGGGAGGGGCAGCCAGTAACTTTTAGAAAGCCTCAGGAAAACGGACAGTTCTTTCTCTTCTGCCTGACGTCTCCAAATCTCTGCTTTAGATCATAGAAGAATGTAACTCCGAGGTCGGCCGCATGCGTCATATGGAAGAACTGATTCACACAGCCAGCAAGATTGAGTTTGATAAGCTGAAGGTCAGAAGGGGTTTGGCTTGGGCCCGTCTTTGGCCTTGCTCTAGCCTGCCACAGCTTGTCCCTGTGGGCCTCCAAGAAGGCTTGCATGAACTGGGGAATTTAAGAGAAGATAGAGCTGCCTAGGGTTGTGCGTTTGGGAGGTGATGTGGTGATATTTTTCCTGCAAGGGATCCTCAGATCAGCCTATTCAAGAGGTATAGGTAACTAGGTTTTACACATTAAAGACTGCCATTTTGGAAAGCTCTAACCCAGTGTTTTGCAACCTTGGTGACTCTTAAGATGTATGGACTTCAACTCCCAGAATTCCCCAGCCAGCATAGCATAATTCTGGGAGTTGAAGTCCACAGGAAAAACTGCCCTAGATTAACTAGAAGGGGAGGGAAAAGCACTTTATTCATACAGACAACATCCAAATCAGAAAATAACCACAATGAAAATCAGGCTTTCTTAAACCTTCCACAATCCCAAATGTGATAATTGGAAAATAAAGTTATGCCCCCAGAATATATTTTGCAGAAGAATAAGAAGTGACCTGATGGCAAATAATCAATCAATCAATCACTATTAATTCTGTTTCAATTACATGTGGACTTCAGTTCCCAGAATTCCACGACTAGCTACCACAAAGTTTCTCAATTCCAGCTATGTTTGCATATGTGGATTTCAACATCCAGAATTCTACAACCAGCAAAACTGGCTGAGGAATTCTGGGAATTGTAGTCTACCCATCTTAAAGCCACCAAGGCTGAAAAATACTGTGAATTTTCTTAGAGAATCTTTGTTGTCCTTCCTTGAAAAAAATCCAGATGGCTTCCAAGAATTTTTTCTAATGATTCTCTTTCCGATTTAGGCCATTCCCATCATTTCCCAGACCCGACAGCTGTTAAAGCAGGGAGAACTCCTGGAAGTTGTGCATCGTGGCACCATCTTTGGCAACAAGCCCAAACTGATCCCCATCTACCTGTTCCTCTTCAATGACCTGTTGCTGGTCACTCAGCGCAAGAGGTTAGCCCAGAAGGCCTAGGCCAAAAAATCTGGCAACAAGATGATTAGTTTGCATTTAAAGGGGTGTATCTATAGAAGAGGCAGGAAGGAGTGGTGCGTTGGCCTAGAGGTAGAGCTCTTGCCACACAATTAGGAGGCTGTGAGTTCGATCCTAGGTGGGGGCAGATATTGGGCACACTGCTGAACAAAGCTCCGCACTGGTGACAGGAAGGGCATCCGGCCATTAAACACTCTGCTAGGTTCATTCAGTTGCCCAAACTCCACCCCGCAAGGAATTATGGAGTTGATAATCTATAGAAGAAGCAGGAGAAGGAGGACAAACTTGACCTCTGCCCTTCAAGGTCACGTTTTGAGGGGATGAATTGAGGAGACAGCAAAGTTTGGGCTTTAGTTCTGCTTCTGCAAATTTTGCAAGTTTGAGAATGGAGCAGGGCCTACTTTCCAAGGCACCTGCTTCAAATCTTGAGGCCTGAAAACTTGCCAGTTTTTTTTTAAAAAAACACAGAGATGGATGCAGAAAGACTTCAGCCTCTGGGGCAAAGCATCAATCCATCTTGCCTGGTGGAATGATTGCAGCAGCCGTGGTGGCGCAGTGGTTAGAATGCAGTATTGCAGACTGACTCTGCCCACTGCCAGGAGTTCAATTCTGACCATCTTAAGGTTGATTTAGCCTTCCATCTTTCTGAGGTTGGTAAAAGGAGAACCTAGATCAATGATGGCTAACCTTTTTGTCATTGCATACCGGTGTGCACGTGAGCGCATAAACACATGCCTGCACCCATCATGCAATGCGTGCGCTACACTTCCGTGACCCCTCCCCCATGCATGTGCACACAACCCCCCATGCTTCCCCATCCCCTGCAGATGCGCGCACATCTCCCGTATGTGCCCCGCCCCCCATGCATGCACGGCAGATACCTGAAAATCATCTGGCTGGTGGGAGGCGCACGCACATGCGCAGTGGAACTGAGCTGGGGTGATGGCTCACATGCCCACAGAGATGGCAACACGCGTGCCATAGGTTGCCATCATGGACCTCGGTGGTTGAGAGCAATATGCTGACTCTATAAACCGCTTTGAGACAGCTGTAAAGCACTATGAAGCAATATATAAGTCTTACGTGCTATTGCTATTGCCCCAGGTTCTCTGTCTACTCCTAGATGAGAACCTTAGCTATCTAAAGGAGATTCCTCTGGTTGGGGAGCTTCCAGATCTATTCATCTACAGGTCCTAGGTCTCCATGATGGTTGACATTTGATCCCATGTGGAGGCCCACTGATCTGGGAAACTTCTGTTGGGGGATCAGCTGCTGCCAGTCACACTTCTACGAAAGCGACTAAGCTGGGATTCACTAATATGTTCCTTTTGCTTCCGTTCCGGATCTGTTCCTGCAGTTCAGAACGCTTTGTGGTGCTGGATTATGCCCATCGCTCGCTAGTCCAGGCCCAGAGCTGTGAGGACACCTCTGCTGGCCAAAACACAGAGAACAGCTTCTACCTGACGTTGATGGAGAACCATCAAGGGCGGAGTAGCGAACGCCTCTGTCGTGCCCCGACACAGTGAGTAGCCACAAAGGAGCGAAAAGATGGTGGTAACTGCGCCCCGTTTATAAATAGAAAGGAGAGGTGATCACAGCTTCCTGCTTTTTTTTCAGAGGGCTAGAACATTTGATCTAGATCTAGAAGTGTCTATGGAGATTCTCAGGTCATCCAGGCCATGGTTGTCCAAAAGATGCTTTTTCAAGAGGCAGCTGGACTTTGTTTTTCTTTGAAGACATTTTGCTTCTCATCCAAGAAGCTTCTTCAGCTCTGAAGAAAAGCTTCTTGGTTGAGAATTGAAACATCTTCAAAGAAAAACCAGAATGTCCCATTGCCTCTTGAAAAAATATCATTGGGATAGATCTACCATAGAAGTGTGTACAGGTAATCCTTGACCTACGGCCCTTATGGAGTGCAGAATTTCCATCATAAGTCACAACATAAGTTGAGGTAGCCACATAACAAAACTCAATTTTATGACTTTTTTTGCAATGGTTGTTAAGACAATGCCCCAGTTGTTAAGTGAACTTACAACCATAACCGAGTCTGCCCATTATGGTTTTAAGTTGTGACGGTTGTTAAACAAATCAATGTATTCCTGTGTTTTTGGTTTTTGTTTTGCTGGAAATCAGCGGAAAGGCGCGTGGGAGATATTAGTGGTGCCTTGATGGCGCAGTGGTTAGAATGCAGTATTGCAGGTTGACTCTGCCCACTGCCAGCAGTTCAATCCTGACTGGCTCAAGGTTGACTCAGCCTTCCATCCTTTCGGTAAAATGAGAACTTGGAATGTTGGAGGCAATATGCTGACTCTGTAAACCTCTTAGAGAAGGCTGTAAAGCATTGTGAAGGAAGCGGTATATAAATCCAAATAGCAATAGCAATAGCACTTAGACTTATATACCACTTTATAGTGCTTTGCAGCCCTCTCTAAGCGGTTTTACAGAGTCAGCTTATTGCCCCCAACAATCTGGGTCCTCATTTTACCCACCTCGGAAGGATGAAAGACTGAGTCAACCTTGAGCCTGGTGGGATTTGAACTGTCAAATTGTAGGCAGCTGACTGCAGCAGAAGTAGCTTGCAGTACTACAACCTAACCACTGTACCACAGAGGCTCCTTAATGCTTAATGCTAAGGGCTATATATCTGCAGAGATACTGGGGTTTGCTTTCAATGACCATTTTGGTTTTTTAAAATGCTTTATTGAACATTTTTCTTTGCATTGTTTACAATGCATTGTTAGTCATTCAGCTGCATCTGGAAGATGGGAAGCCATAACGGATGGGTTAATGGATGGATGGGTGGTTGAATGAATGAATGAATGAAACCCAAATAATATATCTCCAAAATTATCTCTTCCAGATCCGACATGCACCGCTGGATGGGTGCTTTCCCTTGCCATGAGTCCCAGCCTAATAACAAGCAGGAAACCATCTATGAAGATTGGGGTGAGGCTTTTTGGCTGTGTTCCTTTTAAACTTTCCTCCTCTCCCTTGCTACTGCTTCTTGTTCATAGACTAAGAAAATTGAGGAACATCACATTCCTGTCCCACGACTTCTGGATGGCACAGAAATGTGATGTCTGGGGAGGCTAAAATCACCAAAATGAAAATATCTTGAGCTTTGAAACAGACTAAGGACATTGGTTTTCAGGTTAAATTCGGTGTGCTGTGACAGGACTTGATTTCTTCCTTTCCCAATTTGCAATTTACCTAAAGCTAGTTTTCTTTAGTAGTTAAGGCTGCAGGCTAGAGTAAGCAGAAGAGCAAGAAATTTGATTAAGGGCCTGGAGGATGAAACATATGAAGGATGGTTGCAGGAATTGGGCATGTCTGGTCTAATAAAAAGAAGCACTGGGGGTGACGTGATAGCAGTCTTTCAATATCTAAGGGGCTGCCACAAAGAACAGAGAGCCAAGCTATTCTCCAAAGCACCTGAAGGCAGAATAAGAAGCAACGGATGAGAACTAAACAAGGAGAAGCAACTTAGAACTAAGGAGAAATTTCCTGAGAAAAATGAATCAGTGGAATAACTTGCCTCCAGAAGTGTTGAATGCTCCAACACTGGAAGTTTTCAAGAAGTGACTGGACCACCATTTGTCTGAAATGGTACAGGGTCTCCTGTTTGAGCAGGGGGTTGGACTAGAAGACCTCCAAGGTCCCTTTTGATTTTGTTGTTCTGGTTTTGTATGCATGTTGCATGTTACAGAAAAAGTGGAGTATAAATATACTCTGTGTTTCTCTGAAAATAAGACCCTATCTTATACTTTTTGCCATCAAAAAAAAGGCACAAGGTCTTATTTTTGTGGGTGGTGGTCATCCTGACTCACCTCACTTGCACACGTCGGCCCTGGCCTCCTTTTCGCTGTCAGAGGCCTTTAGGAACCCCTTCAGAGGCCGGCAAGGCTTTCCTGAAGGCCTCTGCAGCCAATAACGGAGCCCCAGATTGATCCGGAGCTCTGTTATCAGCTGCAGAGGCCTTCAGGAAAGCCTTGCTGGCCTTACCAGCTGCAGAAAAAATGGGCCAGCAAAGCAGGTGTCGGGTGTGTGAGGCCTGGCTGCAACTGTCCGAAGGTAAGTAGTAGGGCAGCTGCATCCCCTCATCCCCACCTTAGCTTAATTTTTACCCATGCATCCTGGAGGGGGTCTTAATTAGGGCTTATTTTGGGGGTAGTGCTTATATTGGGCTCATGTGTAAAAAAAGATAGGACTTATTTTCAGGGTAGGTCATATTTTCAGGGAAATATAGTAATAAATACATAAGGGTCAGGAAATTTATTCCCTACCACCACACAGACACTTGATACCTTTCCCTCATTGTCCTCCCTTTCCTTCTTTTGATTATTATTATTTTCGTAAGAAATAATTCATTCGGTTATTTTTTTTCTCCTCCCTTTCCACAGATTGTCCCCAGGTTCAATGCACAGAGACCTACAGCGCAGCCCAGGCAGACGAGCTGAGCCTTGAGCCAACAGACATCGTCAACGTGGTGCGCAAAACTGAGGGTGAGACTGCGGATGTGACCCTCCCTAACCGTTTGTGACCAAATTGCGATTTCTTCCTCTTCTTTCTCCGAACAATTTAGAAATTGGCTGTGGGGCTTCCTAACCCAAAGATGGTGTTTTTTTAGCAGAGTTCTCTGCTAAAGGATTCGCTTCCGATCCTTCGAGGTCCTTTCGGTGACTCCGGCACCTTCCCAAATTCTCAGCCTGCTGGAAGCTAAAGTCCCCAACACAGAGAGAGGGTATCCTTGAAGAAAATGGCCTTCCGCTGTTTAGAACACTGGCCGTCCCGACGGTTTTAATGCGGTGTAATGCTCCGGCGGCACTTGAAAGGGAGACCACCAGGTGATCCCAGGCTAGGCTGTAAGCATCTGAGGAAAAAGCGATAGCAAATCACTTCTGAGAACTGCAGGGCTGTCTGTATTGAACTAAACTCAACTTTAATCTCACATACTGTTGTAATATCGGGTAATAATCGGTCTAGAGCAGCAGCCCCAATCTTTTGGGCAGCGGGACCGGCTCCATGGAGAGAGGTTTTTCCGTGGACTAGAGCAGGCGTGGTTTTGCATGCTGCTTGCATCCCGTGGATGAGGCTTCATTTGTTTGTACAGCCTGGTTTCTGACATGCCGTGGCCCAGTGCTGGGCCACAGACCGGGACTTGGGGACCTCTGGTCTAGAGTTTTATTGCCACCCCCAACCTCCCAGTTGTAAGCTATGCACCTCAGCACAAAATCCTCCTTTATGGATTATATTCAATCTCATCCTTCCTCGCATAGCAGAAAAAAGCCAAAATAAAATAAAAAACAGGACTCTGGTTACACCTTTTCCGACTCAATTTCCCCCCCCCCCCCCCTTTAAAAGGCAGAAAGTCTCTTGAGCTCCAGCGAGAGCTCCCGCCTTTTAATACGTTTGTGAGTTTGTGAGGTACAAGTAGGTGCAAAAAGGATTTGGGGGGGGGGCTCCCTAGACCCGTGTTTCTCAGTCTTGGCAACTTTTAAGATGTGTGGACTTCAACTCCCAGCATTCCTCATGCAGTAGTTCGTTTTTTTCAATGCTGTGGTTAACTTCAAAGAATCACTAAATGAATGGTTGCCAGTTGAAGACTCCCTGGATGAGGGCGGGGCTGATTCAGCAGGAATGTGCTTGTTGGAGTTTCACAAAGCGACAGGACAGTCTCCCAATAAATTTTGAGGCAATGAAAAGGGGGCAGAGCAGTCTTCATTGTTTCCTTTTTTTGTCTTCACGATTTTCTGTCTTCTACTCTTTGCTGTCTCCTCTCCTCTCTTTTGTCTTCCTCTCCTCTTTTCTTTCCTATCTTCTCCTCCTTGCTGTCTCCTCTATTTTCTATCCTCCCTTTTCTGCCTGCCTCTCCTCTCTTCTATTTTCTATCTTTCTCTCCTGTCCTGTTCTCTTCTATTTTCTGTCTTCCTCTCATCTCTCCTCTCTTTTCTGTCTTCTCCTCTTTCCGGTCTTCCTTTTTGCGGTTTCCTCCTCTTTTCTGCTTGCCTCTCCTCTCCTCTCCTGTTCTATTTTCTGTCTTCCTCTCCTCTTCTCTATCCTCTTTTCTGCCTGCCTCTCCCCTCCCCTTTTGTCTTCCTCTCCTCTTCTCCTCTATTTTCTGTTCGCTCCTCTCCTCCTCTCTTCTTTTGTCTTCCTCTTTGCTGTCTTCTCTTTTCTGCCTGCCTCTCCTCTCGTCTCCTTTGTCTCTCTCCTCTTTTCGGTGTTCTTCTCCTTGCTGTCTCCTCTCCTCTCTTTTGTCTTTCTCTTTTCTGCCTTCCTTTCCTTTCCTCTCTTCTGTCTTCCTCTCCTACCCCCCATGCTACAGGCTGGTACGAGGGCATACGCCTAGCCGATGGCAAGAAGGGCTGGTTCCCTTCTTGCTATGTGCAGGAGATCACGAATGAACACGTACGCCGGCGCAACCTCCGCGAGCGCTACCGCGTCCTCCAGGTGGCCCGCCAGCTGCAGCTGATGCGCACCAATTGTGTCAAAAGCAAGTCCAGCTCAGCTTGAGACCGAAACTGCACAGCCAACGGAGCCAGTGACTGCGGACCCCGGCCTGCGATCAATCTCACAGCTGGACTCAAGGTTCAATTTCGATTTCACTGGGCGTGGAGCAACATTTTCCTCAAGGGTGCACTGAAGATGGGGAGGATGGAAGAGAGCAGTTGTGTTTTGGATCAAAGGTCACCGAAGGGTGAGAGTGGAAGAGAGATGCAAGCATGCCTGATTTGACTGTTCGGAACTGCAATGCCAGAAATTAACCAGCAAAGGCACTACTTCAAATGTGCCCCTTCTGCCAGAAGGGGGCGACAGACTGCATTTTCACTTGCATTGCAGAGTTTACAGACTTCCTAACCTCCTGTTCTTACCGTTCCCAAGTTGCGTACTAACTCCTCTGAGTCTGTGTGGCATCTTGGTAACCCTGAGTGAGGACTACGAACCTTCTCAGAGGGTTGGGGTGAAGAGGTGACCCAATATTCTACATTAGATAGCAATGGTGCCATATTTCAGGAGATTCCCTGATCCGAGATACGATCAAATGGATGGCCTTGGGTTTAACCAGAAAGGTCAGTTCAACCTGAGCAGGAGTTCTACCTGCCCCCCCCTCCCCATTTTGCAATGACTTATCCTGTTAAAAAATACATGTTAACGATTCAGGCCTACCACTCCTTAGGTTTGTTTTGGGCTCATTGCAAGCTGGTTTGTATTTCACCCACGTTGAAAGATGGGTGTGCCTTGCCCTTCGTTGGCAGAACTCTGGTAGGTGGAACACACTCCCCCCTCCCCCCCAATAAAATGTGTTTTGCAAACAGGATCCACGCCGGTATTATCAGTTTCCTAATCCTGTTCACGGTGCTGTCGCTGCCAATAATTCAAACCTTCCCAGTGGTCCTTAACCTGGGCTCAGGTGATGTCCCTTCTCTACCTCACTTCCTGTCCTTTCCGGTGCCGGGAATCCAGGACTCTTACAGCCTATGGACCCAGCTTATTCCAACTCTTCCCCACACCCTCACAGTTCAACAGACTTTTCTCCTTCATGTAACCTGCCTGAATATGCTGGATTTTCTCCTTTGTGAGCGAGGAATTCCTTTTCCTCGCTTCCAGCCTGGAAACTACACCACAGATCGGCTTGTATTTATTAATGTGTTGCTCTCTTTAGCTCTCGAGCTGGAAGAGGTTTCACTTGGGGAGAAAGCAGAGATTGTACTTTAATTTATTCTGTGCCATATTTGCTTGCGCTGGGACCTCTCTTGTGTTTTTCTATCCCAAATAGCCTTTTAAAAAAAATAATAAAAAATAAAAGATGAACAAAATGTGCCAGTGCTTGCTTTAAGTTTTTGCTTCTCCTTAGTAAATACAAGAGTCTGTTAATGTGGTCTGTCGGCCTGCTGCTCCCTCCAGCAGCCGAATCAGACGAGGAGGTGGAGTCGGAGCCAGCATTAAGGCAACCTGAGAGCTCCAAGGGGGAAGAGGGAATGGAGCAGTCAGAGAGAGAGGCAGAGGCAGAGCCTGGGCCATCCATCAGCCCCCAGATGGAGAGGCAACAGTCCACAGGTCTGAAAGTGGCTGAGGAGCAGGGGTGGGATTCAGTTGGGTTTGGGTGAACCGGGTGTTAAATTTACATCTGGTTCGCGGAACTGGTAGTTGAACTGACCAGCTGGCCCCTCCTAGGAGTCTCCACACAGCCCATATTGGATGCAGGTAAGTGCAGGGTCTGCGCGGAGGCTCTGGGAGGGCGAAAAACAGCCCTCCTGGAAGTCCCAGAAACAAGCCTGTTTCCAGCTTCCGGAGGGCCTCTGGAACCCATTTTTGCTCTCCCAGAGGCCCAAGGGAAGCCTCTGCATTCTGGGGAAGGCAAAAAATTGCCCTTCCAAAAGTTGTGGTAGGTCATGCCCACCATGGCCACGCCCACCCAGCAACCGGGCAGAGAACCGGTTGTTGGGATTTTTGAATCCCACCCCTGCTGAGGAGGAAGAGGAAGAACAGTTCCATGCCTGACACGCCGATGCCGATCCTTGGGACAGAAGACCCACCGTTGCTAGCAAAGCAACTAGCCTTGGTCTGGGGATAAAAAGCAGGGGGCGGAGATGAATAGATGTGGCAGACAACTCTTTGTCTCCCTATCGATCAGCCACTGATAGTCTGAACTTCTGAATCCTGCCTGGAGCTGTATTGGAATGCTTCCCGGTAATCTGTGGCGCTGAGAGTCGAGTGCGCCTTCAGAACATTGTGTGTATGTGTGTGAGAGAAAGAGATAGAGAGAAAGAGAGAAAGAGAGGGAAAGAGAGAAAGAGAGAGATCTGCTGCTGGAAGAAGAGTGGGTGCACCTTCCAGGACTTCCGTTAAGAGTGTGGTGAGAGAGACACTCCTGATGTGTTGGGAGTTGGTTCAAGGGGAAAGGGAGCGAGCTTTGCTTTCCATTGGCACTTAAGAGACTGCTGTGTGTGTGTGTGTGAGAGAGAGAGAGAGAGTCTCTTTGCCGGCACTCCTAACAAAGGGACCGTTTAATTAAAAACAGCATGCTTGGGAGCCAGGTCAGAACACTTAATACCAAGGCTGGTGTTTGCCCAAAATACCAAATTCCCCAAACCAGAATAGTTCCCTTTGACAACTCACAAAGCCAGAAGAGAACATATAACCAGTAGGATTAATAGATTGTACGAACTAAGCTTTTTACCTTAAATGGGAAGCTTCTAGCTTCAAATATCAGCTGGAGTACATGAGCCTGACATCGGAGAAGTCAATATTACAGCTCAGGATTGTGTTTCAAGTCTGCAATTGGAGATAAGAATAGAGGCCTCTGTGCTCGGCTCCCGTTTGCTGGTGTTGAAAGGAGTATTATTCGACTTGCCTTAGTGGGGAAGACTGAACGGATGGCTCAGTTTTCCAATTGTAGAAACAAGAAGGGATTTAGCTGGTACTAGAAGGAAACATCAATGATGGGTCTACTGAATGGCTGAGCTGGTTTTCTTCCCATCGGAAATTTAAGAATTTCCAATCGATTAGAATTCCCGGCTCAGGGAATCTTGGAAGGCAAACTGATCCCTTATTTTAGTTTGGTATTTGTTAACTTCTGTAGGTTTAAGATGCATGGACTTAAACTCCCAGAATTCCCCAGCCAGCAATGCTGGGAGTTGAGGTCCGTGCATCGTAAACCTGCCGAGGTTGACAACACTGGTTTAGTTCATACACGACACCCTTGTATCATTACAAACATCTTAAAACAACGGCTTAAAGAGTACCATTCTCCCCAAAATAAGACACTGTCTTATACTTTTTGCCACCAAAAAAGGCACCAGGTCTTATTTTTGGGAGGGGGGAATGTCATCCACTAACTCACCTCACTTGCGTGCATCGCCCCAAACATCTTTTTTTACTATCAGAGGCCTTCAGGAACTTCTTTGACCAGCAAGGCTTTCCTGAAGGCCACTGCAGCCAATAACAGAGGTCCAGATTGAGCCGGAGCTCTGTTATCGGCTGCAGAGGCCTTCAGGAAAGCCTTGCCAGCTGCAGAAGAAATGAGCCGAGGTGTGCGAGGCCTGGCTGCAACTATCTGAAGGTAAGTAGTACCCCCTCATCCCCATCCTACCTTAATTTTTACCTGTGCAACCTGGTGGCATCTTAATTAGGGCTTATTTTTTGGGGGGGGCTTATATTGAGCACATGGAAAAATCAAGCTAGGACTTACTTCTGGGGTAGGTCGTATTTTTGGGAAAACACAGTAGATGCAAGCTGGTATCAGGAAGGATGAACTATAGACTTTGAACCGTTAGCCAGTGGAATAGAGAGCCACATGAAATAGTCTTCACTAAAGATCTTCAAAGACTAGAGAGCCTCCTGCTAGATGTGTTCCAGGGGATTCTTCCCCAAGCAGCTGACCTCTAAAGCCTCCTCCAACGATCCTGACTAACCAAAAGATCTCTAGCCAACGAGCTCAGGTTGCAAAACTTCCATTTCTCCCTTTTCTCGAGTAAAGCTGAGCGCACTTGCCTCTTTTAAAACGGAGCTTTATTTAGTATGCTGTCCAACAGGAAATAATTTAAAGCACGCTTCATATGGGACACCGCTAGCACACTGCCACCCCTCCGCCCGCACTGACCAATAGCCCATGGCGTACAATATTGTGAGAGGCTACACAAGGCTGCGAGCTCCCACCAAGAGCCACAAGGCTCGAGGAATGAAAAGAAGGGTCTCTTAGTTATCAAATAGATACAGGTCACCCTTTATGGAGCATGATGACTGAAAGACTTTTAGCCCTGGGATTGTGCCCAGCATTGGAAAATAAGATGTGACTGATGTCTTTGCTCCCATTACAGTGCTTAACATTCGTAGGAATTTGAAAATGCATCAAGAGCTTTTTTTGGGTGGGGGCTGATTTATAACTGTAGTTAGCCTCCTGTGTCCTCCTCCCTCCCTTTCCAGCCCAACGGAGTCGAGAGGCATGCCTATACAGAAGGCTTTCTCTCTCCCCAGGATCAGGAGTGAAGAAAAACCAATTTGTCCTTTGTCTTCTTTCTTCATTGCTTCCTTGGACTTCCTGGAGTTGCTTTTGTAAACAAAGAAAGAAGCCTTCCAGGGCACAACTTCTAGCCCCATCCCAATCTTCTCGTGCATGAGAGCTGGGCTGAAACACCCTTATTGTTTCACCAGTAGCCAGATCTTGTGCCCTCCCGCCACTCTCCCAAAATCGGATTCGGAAAGAACATGGCAGATTGTAGCCCAAGGAGGGGGCTTGACAGAAAATTAGGAGCGGACGAGATGAAATTCTGGAATTCTGGCAAGGAAGAATTCAGGTTTTTATCCATCCTGTGGTATTGGAGAAGATTCTAGCGAGACTGCAAGGAGATCCAGTCAGTAAATTCTGAAGGAAATCAACCCTGAATGTTCTTTGGAAGGACAGATAGTGAAGCTGTAGCTCTCTCTTTTTAACAAGGGATTGGACATTCCTTTTGTCCGAAATGGCACAGGGTTTTTTGCTTAAGCAGGGGGTTGGACTAGAAGACCTCCAAAGTCCCTTCCAACTCTGTTTCTCTGATGCTCAAATGCTTTGGCCACCAAAATAGAAGGTCTCGCTGGAAAAGACCCTGATGTTGGAAAAGATGGAAGGCAAAAGTAGAAGGTGACAGCAGAGGATGAAATAGCAATATCAATAGCACTTAGACCTATATATCGCTAACAGTGCTTTACAGCCCTCTGTAAGCGGTTTACAGAGTCAGCATATTGCCCCCAGTAATCTGGGTCCTCATTTTACCAACCTCAGAAGGACGGAAGGCTGAGTCAACCTTGAGCCTGGTGAGATTCAAACTGCCAAATTGCAGTCAGCCAGCAGTCTAGCCTGCAGTACTGCACTCTAACCACCGCACCGCCGCAGCTCATCAAATGGTTAGATAATGTCATCAATGCAATGAACAAGAATTTGGACAAACTCCGGGAGACACCAGAGGAAGTGGAGGGTGGGGCATGGCATGCTATGATCCACGAGGTCGCAAAGAGTCAGATGTGATATAGCAACTGAACAGCAACCTCAAATTCATCCTATGGAGAGTCTTAGCCCAACAATACTTGTCCCCTTAACATGGTAAGAATTCTTTTGGATGCTGAACCACAGGGAGCAGATCCGTATCAAGTAACAACTGGCCGAAGAGTGGAATGGCCTCTGTGTTTCTCCAATCTTGGGACAATGGGAGATGAGGGCAGGCAACAGTGGCTCCTGATGCTAGTGGTGACTGATGATGAAGTAGCCGAATCCATTTGTGCTTGGAAATCAGTTGTCTCTTTCTCTGCTTTTGAAGGCACTAAGTGGCAACGAAGCTGGAGAGAGAGTCCCCTCTTTTCCGCACCTCTCCTCATGCACTGACCGCCACGGTGCCCTCAATGATCCATGAGCCGGAGGGGGGGGTGAGCCAGGGGATGCCAGCATTAGGGGTCCACAAAGGAAACCATGATGTAGCGGGTGCCCCAAGTGGTGGGCAAACCTTCGTGGTAGTGGGTGAGACGTCCTGGGTGGATCAGGCTCCAGCCCTTGCGGGGAGATTCCACGTTGCAATTGTAGCGGAGAAATCGGCAGCCGCCTCCCTAGGGAACAGAGAGAACCATTTTAGACAGACGAGACCAGGTTCAAATTATTTATAGGCTAAGATTAAGATTACAGCAATGAGAGTGAAAAATTTAAGATTTGAAAAAACAACCCCAAAAAAGAATAGTTTGAAAAGTAATTACAACATTAGGAAGAAACAGAAGAGAGGATTACAGAAGAGAGAATCAGAATTAGAGAAGGGGTCAAAAAGGGAAGGGAGAAGAAGAGGGGGAAGAGGGAAAGGAAAAGAAATTATAAAGGACAAACAGGACATAGAGAAACAGGGAAAACGTACCAGGATTAAGGGTATAAGCCTATTTAGAAAACACAGAGATAATGGGTGAAAACTTAATTGAAAGGGGGATTCTGCAAGGGCACATAAGATAGTATTGTTATATTAGAAATAGAAATTAACTTTGAAAATATGAAACAAGTGTGATTAAAATGATAGATAAAATACTCATTGTAATGTAATGGAATGTTTAATAAATAAATGAAATAAAGAGAATGAGAGAATGAAATTAGGAAAGGAGGGGAACATTTTAATAATTATAAATGTGATAAAAATTTAAGTGAAGAGGAATATGAAAGAAACATGAAAAATTATGGAAATATTATAAGTGTTCCTAGAAGTATGATACCCTATTGAAAAGAAATATTAAAGATGTCAAAGATTATAACTAACATTAATGATAGAGCTGAATTGGAATAGAATAAGTATTTTATTTATTATTGTTATATATATA